GTGAGCCAAAAGCCTTTTAACTGGCAGGTGGCATTTCTACATGGAACCACGCTATTCTCTAAATTGTCTTCTGTCTTTGCCCTTTGACTGTTAGAAAGATACTTGTGGCCTCCAGGTGTCCTAACTCTGCCTCGCCTGGAACATTTTTACTGTCTTTTTTCCATTCAGTCTTTAGAATATTGATGTAATTTCCAAAGTTATTAGGATATAGACTGAATACTCAAGGATTGTCATGGTTGATGATTGCTGAAACATTGAAGGGAAAATGTTAAGGTTGGACTTTACTGGTCACCTCAACAGAATTACCCCTGGATATATTTCGGTTGCTTGCTTGGGGGTGGTATGTGCAAGTGTAGTCCTGCAAAGCACTGAATATGCTCTAGCTTTGTGTGTAGTGGCTGATGTCACATAGAACTTTGCTTTTTTTTTTTTCCAGCAACTTCCACTGTGTATATTGGTGTAATTACAAGAAAAGCAAACCTGATACCTCTGTTAAATCTTTCTGAGCCTCTGTTTGTTGTGATAATTTATGTACCCTTTAAAAATAGTATTTCAGAAACCTGACAGTCAAAAGATACAATGCTGCACAGCAAAAAATAAGTAGGAGGCTTAAAGGTACTCCACCTTACTGACAGAAGCCTTACCTTTTGACAGCAGCATTTATGCTGTGGAACATTTGGGAAAGAAGACAGAGAGCAGAATACTGTTGTGACCATGCATGTGGGATCTAGATTGCTGGTCCATGGTACTCCCCGAAGGGTTATTGCATGTGGCAGGAGAATCTCCATTACAGTAACAGGATATCCTACTCAGCTGAGCTCAGGTTCTTAATTACCATTCTGCCATCATTACTACCAATGTATCTCTGTACTTGTTTGGAATCAGAATTGAGATGTACAATAACACATGGCAGAAGGAGAATTTAAGATGTTTTTAAAAACGTATTTGTGGGTAGCGGCTCCATCTTACGCTCTTATTTTTCTCTTGGTTGCTTAGGGTTTGAATGCAGTGTTTGATGCACTGGTGATTAACAAGCTAAATGTTTTGGAGCTTATTCAAAAGTTACTACATAAGGACAAGTCATTGGAGGTGAGTTCTCAGAGGTTTTGTTCATTCTGGCCATTGAGTCATGTACTAAATGACAAAGATACAACTTCTAACAGTTTTGTTGTTGTTGAGAATTTTTTTTTTTAAAAGAGGTATTTTCAGTCGGCCTAGAAAGGTGATGTCCTATGACATCTTTGTAGCAACATTAGTAGTAATGGGATAGCATTACAATTGCATTGGATACAGAAATCCGTTCCACACTTCTTTCAACAGTATGCTAACAATACGGTGTGGAAGAGCTGGCTGCTTGATGCAACAAGTTCTGCAGGGTCAGTAGCTGTACACCTGAAATGGTTGTTTAAGACAGTTTGGTCAGAGTAAAGAGAGAGAGAGAGATTTATTCAGATTCTCAAATGAGATAGGCATTTGAAAAAGTAAGTAAAAATTATTATGTCTACTTTGCTAATCTCACCGAGGTATTACACTGTTTTCTTCAGAATACAAATTATCAGATAGGAGACAGTTCCTAGTAGATTTGGGAGTCTGAAAGAAAAAATATGTAAGCACTGATAGTCACTAAGGATTGAATTTCTGACTTTTGTTATGTCCCTTACCTAGTATTGGCTCAAATGGAACCTGGTGCCTAGTGTTTGCGCTGGCAAGCAAATTGCAGAAACAAGTAGCCTCCGGTGAATGATTGATAGCAGTCAAATAGACCAAGAGCCTACTAGAACATCACTGCTGTTCAACAGATAAATCATGTGCCTCTCCCATCAAAGGTCCAGCAAGGCAAAGGAATATTCATTGTACTTTGCATTGATCAGTGGTTTCACTGCAGAGAAGTCTTGCTCATGTTTCTGAGTAGCACAAGTCTTATTGGGCTTTTAAATTCCTTTGCAAAAAGTGAGGAGCTTTGGAGGGAAATCAGCAGAAGTGGAATCTCTAGAACTGAAAGAGTAGATTTGAACAAGAATGGCTAAGGGAAGCGTGCAGAAGTATTTGAGGCAGCAAATAGGAATGCTGGACAATTTCATTGTATAATGAAAGTAGTGTCAACTAGCATATGAGAAGAATAGAGTCTAGAGCTGTAGGGGACTAAAGCAGAGCCAGTTCAGAATTAAAGTGATGGAAGTAAAAGGTAATAAGGAGGACCTTGGCAATTACTGACCAGTCAGCCTCACATCGATGCCTTTGAAGATCATGGAACAGATCCTCCTGGAAGTTATGTCGAAACATATGAAAGACAGGGGGGTGATTAGACACATGGCTTCACCATCATGCCTGACTAATCTAGTGGCCTTCTACGATGGAGTGACAGCTTCAGTGTACGAGAGAAGAGCTACTGATGTAATCTACCTGGATTTCTGTAAGGCCTTTGATATGGTCCCCCACAACATTCTTGCTGCTAAAGCGGAAGGAGATGGGTTTCACTGATGGACTGTTGGATGGATAAGGAATTGGCTAGATGGCTGCATGCAAAGAATTACAGTCAAAAGCTCAATGTCCAAATGGAAAGCAAAAATAAGTAGGAGGCTTAAAGGTACTCCACCTTACTGACAGAAGCCTTACCTTTCCACAGCATAAATGCTGCTGTCAAACATTTGGGAAAGAAGACAGAGAGCAGAATACTGTTGTGACCATGCATGTGGGATCTAGATTGCTGGTCCATGGTACTCCCCGAAGGGTTATTGCATGTGGCAGGAGAATCTCCATTACAGTAACAGGATATCCTACTCAGCTGAGCTCAGGTTCTTAATTACCATTCTGCCATCATTACTACCAATGTATCTCTGTACTTGTTTGGAATCAGAATTGAGATGTACAATAACACATGGCAGAAGGAGAATTTAAGATGTTTTTAAAAACGTATTTGTGGGTAGCGGCTCCATCTTACGCTCTTATTTTTCTCTTGGTTGCTTAGGGTTTGAATGCAGTGTTTGATGCACTGGTGATTAACAAGCTAAATGTTTTGGAGCTTATTCAAAAGTTACTACATAAGGACAAGTCATTGGAGGTGAGTTCTCAGAGGTTTTGTTCATTCTGGCCATTGAGTCATGTACTAAATGACAAAGATACAACTTCTAACAGTTTTGTTGTTGTTGAGAATTTTTTTTTTTAAAAGAGGTATTTTCAGTCGGCCTAGAAAGGTGATGTCCTATGACATCTTTGTAGCAACATTAGTAGTAATGGGATAGCATTACAATTGCATTGGATACAGAAATCCGTTCCACACTTCTTTCAACAGTATGCTAACAATACGGTGTGGAAGAGCTGGCTGCTTGATGCAACAAGTTCTGCAGGGTCAGTAGCTGTACACCTGAAATGGTTGTTTAAGACAGTTTGGTCAGAGTAAAGAGAGAGAGAGAGATTTATTCAGATTCTCAAATGAGATAGGCATTTGAAAAAGTAAGTAAAAATTATTATGTCTACTTTGCTAATCTCACCGAGGTATTACACTGTTTTCTTCAGAATACAAATTATCAGATAGGAGACAGTTCCTAGTAGATTTGGGAGTCTGAAAGAAAAAATATGTAAGCACTGATAGTCACTAAGGATTGAATTTCTGACTTTTGTTATGTCCCTTACCTAGTATTGGCTCAAATGGAACCTGGTGCCTAGTGTTTGCGCTGGCAAGCAAATTGCAGAAACAAGTAGCCTCCGGTGAATGATTGATAGCAGTCAAATAGACCAAGAGCCTACTAGAACATCACTGCTGTTCAACAGATAAATCATGTGCCTCTCCCATCAAAGGTCCAGCAAGGCAAAGGAATATTCATTGTACTTTGCATTGATCAGTGGTTTCACTGCAGAGAAGTCTTGCTCATGTTTCTGAGTAGCACAAGTCTTATTGGGCTTTTAAATTCCTTTGCAAAAAGTGAGGAGCTTTGGAGGGAAATCAGCAGAAGTGGAATCTCTAGAACTGAAAGAGTAGATTTGAACAAGAATGGCTAAGGGAAGCGTGCAGAAGTATTTGAGGCAGCAAATAGGAATGCTGGACAATTTCATTGTATAATGAAAGTAGTGTCAACTAGCATATGAGAAGAATAGAGTCTAGAGCTGTAGGGGACTAAAGCAGAGCCAGTTCAGAATTAAAGTGATGGAAGTAAAAGGTAATAAGGAGGACCTTGGCAATTACTGACCAGTCAGCCTCACATCGATGCCTTTGAAGATCATGGAACAGATCCTCCTGGAAGTTATGTCGAAACATATGAAAGACAGGGGGGTGATTAGACACATGGCTTCACCATCATGCCTGACTAATCTAGTGGCCTTCTACGATGGAGTGACAGCTTCAGTGTACGAGAGAAGAGCTACTGATGTAATCTACCTGGATTTCTGTAAGGCCTTTGATATGGTCCCCCACAACATTCTTGCTGCTAAAGCGGAAGGAGATGGGTTTCACTGATGGACTGTTGGATGGATAAGGAATTGGCTAGATGGCTGCATGCAAAGAATTACAGTCAAAAGCTCAATGTCCAAATGGAAAGCATAACAAGTGGTGTCCCTCAAAGGTCCATACTTGGACCAATACTATTTAATATCTTCATCAATGACATGGATAGTGGAATTGAGTGCACCCTGAGCAAGTTTGCAGATGGCACCAACCTGAGTGGTGCAGTTGATACTCTTGAGGGATGGGATGCCATCCTGAGGGACCTTGGCAAGTGCAAGAAGTGGCCCCTTGTGAACCTCATAAGGTTCAGCAAGACCAAGTGCAAGGTCCTGCACATGGGTTGGAGCAATCCCCAACATCAATATAGACAGGAGGATGAATGGATTGAGAGCAGCCCTGCAGAAAAGGACTTGGGGATACTGGGAGATGAAAAATTGGATATGAGCCTGTAATTCGTGCTTGCAGCCCAGAAAGCAAATCGTATCGTGGGCTGCATAAAAAAAAAAACAACGGGCTGACAGGTCATAGGAGGGGATTCTTCCCCCTTCTCTGGTGTTGTGAGACCCCACCTGGAGTCCTGTGTCCAGCTCTTGGACGGATGAAAGGCGTGGACCTGTTAGAGTGGGTCCAGAGGAGGGCCACGAAAATCAGAGGGCTGGAACACCTCTCCTGTGAAGAACAGCTGAAATAGTTGGGGCTGTTCAGCCTGGAGGAGAGAAGGCTCTGGGGACACCTTAGTGTGGCCTTTCAATATATTGAAAGGGTTTATAAGAAAAATGGAGAGAGACTTTTTACTAGAGCCGGTAGTGACAGGACCAGGGGCAGTGGTTTAAAACTGAAAGAGGGTAGGTTTAGATTGGATATGAGAAATAAATTCTTTACTATAAGGGTGGTGAGGCACTGGAACAGGCTGCCCAGAGAAGCTGTGGATGCCGCTCCCTGGAAGTGTTCAAGGCCAGGCTGGATGGAGCTCTGAGCAACCTGGTCTAGTGGAAGGTGTCCCTGCCCATGGCAGGGGGGGTGGATTAGATGATTTTAGAAGGTCCTTTCCAGCCCAGACCATTCTATGATTCTGTGAAATGTGTCAAAGTCAAACCTTTTTTGCAGGGTTACTCTTTAAGCATGAAGAGCTCAAAGTGTTATGCTTCTGTTTTGTGAGTTTTAAGCAGTTGTGTCTGGGTGAATAAAACGTCAAATGTGCCTTTTCTTTCTTCTTCTTTTAATATAAGTAATTAATTTTAGCTCCTACCACCTACAAAAATGTGTTCTGCTCTTTTAATGGAAGTATATCTAAGAATTGTGTGTTTTGTTTTGTTGAAAGGCAGATCTTAAATTCCCTTTCTTGCAGATTTTTTTTCTTCTCAATTGAGACAGGTTTCAGTTTCAGGCAGATTTTAGTTAACTAAATCAAAGATGATACGATAATACTTCTTCTTCCACTCTTTAAATTCTACATACTAAGAGATTTTGTGGTGATTTGTGAAATCTGGCCTTTAAGAAGCTGCGTGTACTGTTCAATGAAATTAAGCCTGGGATGAGAGGTTTTGTGCAGTTATTCTGTCATAAAGCAGTTATAAATTGTCACTATACGGTTTTCCTTCATAGCACAATTCTCTCTTCCAAAATAGTTTTTAGGAATGGTTTTCCTGTAATCCTCATTGTAATGACTTTGGCTACTGAGATTTGTAAATTGGAAGTAAGCATTTGAGCACAAAGGCTAACTTACATAAAATCAACATTACGAAATTCTTTATCCTTAGGCATTCAGCTAAACTTTACATAATGACTCCACTGTCAACTACAAATATTAAAATGCCATGTGAATATTGCTTTTAACTTAACTTTTCTATCATTTTAGAGAGTAAGTATCTTCAGCCAGGGCACTGTTGAATGTCTGGCTTTGTTCAATGTATGTTTGGTGGGGTTTTTTTTTAATCTTCAGAAATAATTAATATTGATCTCCTAAATTATTATGGTGGTGCTTGCTAATCAGCGTATTGCAATAATAGGTAGCAATAATCAGTGTGCCAGCTCCCATGGAGGACATAGAACTGATCAGGTACAACTGTCAGGTAGGTTTTTAAAGGTAATTGAAGCATATCAGACTAAGGGAGGAAGGTAGGAATAAAGGAAAACTAATACTGGAGATCACATGACCATATTTTTTTAGGATACAGTCAACTCTTTCATGTAAAAATCCATAGTTTACTGACACTTTCAGCTTTAGATGTGTAGAATGGAAAGTGGATAGTGGCCCAAATGATCTCTCATTTCAGAGGAATTCTCGGCTTCCACCCTCTGCTTCTCTAACGGCTTGTTGAGGCTGTGTAGAATAATTTCAGCCATCTGGTTTCAGACAGCTCTAAGACAGCCCTTCATTACCTGAGTTACCGTTTGCTAGCTGGGTAGGGTGTTGGAAGCTTGGATTTACATCTTGAAACTGTGGTGGGAATATTGTTACAGTTACTGATGATTCTGTTTCCAGTCTCTACTGGTGAAGCTTGAGGAACCTCTACAGTATACAGTGTTTTTCATGTCTTTTACGAAACTGATGTTTGCTTGGAGAAAATGTATTGTACTTAATGGGGGGGAAGAATGGGAAAGCGTGTCAAATTCAGCTTCTGTGACATCACTTCTTTATGTTTTATGGGAATTGCCTTCTTTAGACCCTAACATGTGTATTACGAAATATGTGATGTAAATCAACTGAGTTAATGTAGATAAACCACAAGTTTTTTTTAGATCTTGGGTAATTTTAGCCTGACCAAAATAATTTGGGTGCCTGTCTGTCATTAACTTTTTAATCACTCTAGTCATTGTGAAAATCAGCTTCTCATTCCTCCCAGTTTCTGACTATGCAGTTTTCTTGTTATATGCAGTCACATAATTTTATCTCTAAAGAGGCTTAAGTGGACAAAACCTTTCAGTGATAAGCAGTCAGCTAGATACAGCTATTTAAAATAAAGTTTACAAAGTAGCTGTCCTCCATTTTAAAAAGAAAAGATAGATCAATTTAATATGCTGTATACTAAAGGCTGTAATCTGCTCAAATTCCCTATTAGAAATTGCTGTGCAAAATTACATCAGCTGTAGAGTTACTGAGGATTTGTAGAAGAGAGACTTCTTGAATAAAAAAGTTTTCTGGTTGAGAAGGAAATGAAAATGTTTGCAAAAAACATTTTGCAATTAGTCAATGAAAGAATAGTAAAGTTTGAGAGCTTTCTAGTAACTGCAAAAATAAGAAAAATGACAACTCTAATAGCAAAAATGCACAGGAATAGCCTGATCTTCCTGAGGTGGTGGCAAAAAAGATGTGAATGTAGTGGGGGGGGAGAACAAAATAATGTTTTTATATGAAGTTTTTTCCTCTTTCTTTCCTGTAGAATGCTGGACTGTTAAGAAAGGGGCTGCTTTTCAGGATAACTCTTCTGATGTCTGGAGGGGCCAGTATACTTTATATACGCTGGAGGATTATGGGCACAGGGCCACCAGCTTTCACTGAAGTAGATAACCCAGCTTCATTTGCAGACAGTCTGTTTGTGAGAGTAAGTTATGAAGTTGTTTTTTTTCTGGCAAGCTCAGAACATTTGTCTTTGTCATCAAACTGAATTTTCTTTTCTGTGCTTCAGAGAAACAATAAAGTGGGCAGTCTTTACGTTTCAGGTTGCCTCGTGAGTCACCTTCCCTTTTGCTGCTGTGATGATTTTCTGCAAAAATAGTATACCTTGTATATTCTTTGCATTCAATTTAGCCTGCACTGCACACATTGATCTACATTTCCATTTACTACTTTTCGCATGTGTGGCAGGATTTAGCTTTTGCTGGATTTCATCCCTTTTGCACATACTGTGTTTGACTCTTCATCTCTTCTTTCACAATTGAAGAAGATACGAAGTTCTGGCCTGGTGCATTTGGAGTATGCATTGGCTTTATACCTCTGGCTGCATAAAGGCTCTTTCTGGAGATGGAGGGTGAAGGGCGAGGACAGCGGGTGCTGTCTGTTGACGTTTTCTCCTGTTGTAGGAGATTATTTTTTTTATTTTAATGTGGATATTGGTTGGACAGCACAGAATTGCATTGCCTTGTTCTGAACAGGAAAGCCACCTAGCTATGTTTAAAAAAATTAAAATTTGTTTCACAGCTGTAAAATTAATGGATATGTAACTAGTTGTAGTCTAACAGTGTTTAAGGCCTCTTTATTGTAAAAGATACATTTTGCGATAAGGGAAATGAGCAAAGAGAACTAAAGTTGCCCCCCTCTATAGTATAGTATCAAATAAATGTTTGTTTTCTTTTTGACTGACAGGCTATAAACTATAATTACTACTATTCGTTGAATGCATGGTTACTGTTGTGTCCCTGGTGGCTGTGTTTTGATTGGTCAATGGGCTGCATACCCCTCATTAAATCCGTCAGCGACTGGAGGATAATTGCACTAGCAGCACTTTGGTTCTGCCTAATTGGTCTGATATGCCAAGCTCTGTGCTCAGAAGACAGCCATAAGAGAAGGTAAGAGACAGGGATGAATTTTAAATGCCTGGCCAACTTGAGTACAGTATTATTTTGTTAAATCCACTGTTGATAATTTTAACAATTCAGTGAAACCAGTGTCTAGCAAATGCAGTTCAAATAAATATTTATAGCTGTTATTACAGTTTTATCCCAATTTGGACCCATCACTGTACACTGACTAGTAGGAAACCGAATTGGAAGAGGAGGTATGGATGGCTGCTTTATTTTTCTCCTGAAATGGCATTTTGAGACACTTAACACTAGGTGGTAAAAAGTAATGTGTACTCAGAACAGTAGGAATGGATGTATGTTCTTGCCCCTGCTTCTTACTAGTCATCATCTACTTTAATCTTCTCCTAATAATGAGAGAGAGAAAGAGCAGATGTGCCTTGAAAGGAGGTGGAAATGCTGGCCATGGCCATACAATTAAAAATAAAACGGTGACCTGTAGTATGAGGAAACAACGCGTAGTTTACCCGAAGGAACTCAAAAATTTTATTGTTAACTGTTCTGTCTCACTAAGGGCTTCTGCTTAACTTTTCAAGGTCTGTCCCATGGATTTTTTGTATAATTAATTTCTCAGTTCTTAAAAATTTTTCAACAACTTAATCACAGCGAGGTCATTCTTTTGTTTAAAGTGCTGAATATTTTCTTTTTCTTTTCTGTGGTATTCTGTAATTTCATCTCTTCCCCCTTGACCCCTCAAATGTTAACATCCCACCTGCCTGCCTTTCTGCTGTTCCCATACTCATTTGCATGGATAAAATCGTTTTGGAGAGGGATAGAATTCTTGCTGCAAGTGATGTCATGCTTTCTGGTAAAAACACACTCGCTAAGCCTGTATTGCTGAACAGTATTTTAGTAAAAGTAAAGACAAAAAGTATCGTGAAGGAACTAGGACTCTTGGGGAGGAGAAGAGAGTAAGAGGATGCATCCACATGACAGTATAGAAATCTGTTAGTAATAAATTAGAGCAGAAGACTACCATACCTGTGGCCTTTATAACAAACACCTGACACAGACCTGGGATTCATATTTCCTTATGTCAGCTCTGTAGAAGTCAGAGACCTAGTCTCAGTTAGCTAAGCTCTTTATAGTCCGCAGGTACCTGCTGAGGATTACTCCTCCTAACATAGAGACTCAAAAAAAGGAAGACAAACTGCCCCAAAGAAATGCCTCTCTCTGCTGACCATAGAAAAAGTGTAGATGTCTAACTTTCATGTGGTTAAGCACAATGGATTCTACTGTGTATTTGCTAGGAAAGAAAATGCTTACTCAGTAGGACGTGTACATAAGTTTCTTCTTTAAAGGTGACCTTATTTTTCCCCTGTTACTGACTTACTAGTTCCAAAATTAGACAGGTAGCTTTTGCCATTACTTTTACTGCCTGTGTATTTTAAATAGGAATTGTGTAATTAATGTGTAAAGGGCCTATTTTCTGGCCTGGAAGCATGAACATTGCTTTGCCGGGAATTATAGCTAGGATTTTAAAAGTGCCTGATGGAATGAAGTGTCAAAACCTCGCTGAAAGTTAATCTGATTTTGTTATGTAGCTCTCAAAGGTTGCTTTTGAATGCCCTGTTCCATATGCACATCCTTCTGCAATGTTTACATAAAGCTTATATGTTAAGTGGAAAAGGCACTTTTGTTAAGATTTATGATTAATTTTAGAATCCATTTCTTGTTTGCAGAATTCTTACACTGGGACTTGGATTTCTTATTATCCCTTTTCTTCCTGCAAGTAACCTGTTCTTCCGAGTAGGATTTGTTATTGCGGAGAGAGTCATCTACCTCCCCAGTATTGGATATTGTATTCTGTTTACGTATGGATTTAGTCTCTTGAGTAAGCAAGCCAAGAAAAAGGTACTATTAAAACAGTCAGTAAAGTTAATGGTGAAGTGTTTCAATTGAATGGTTTGTTTCTTAACTTGCCTCTCTTTCCTTAAGAAAATTCTTGCTGTGGCAGTACTTGGAATCCTGTTGATAAATGTTATGCGCTGTGCACTCCGCAGCAGTCAGTGGAGGTCAGAAGAACAGCTTTTTAGGAGTGCACTGTCTGTGTGCCCTCTGAATGCAAAAGTAAGTCATTCATGTGGATTTTTAATCTTTTTTTTTCTTTTAAAATGTTTTGAAATTTGGGATAGAGGAGGTGTTATGCATAGTTAATATATTGTGGTACAGTGTTACTCACAGTGATGCTTGGTGCAAGAATATGACACTGACGTGTCAGACACCTAAATTACAGTGGTAGCATAGTCAAAATACCAGACAGTGCAAATTACAGTACTGTAATTCAGAACTTTGGGGTGGGAATGGGGAGGGGAGGGAGAAGGGGGAATACATTTCAGGAAAGGCATCCAGTCAAATTGGACATACTGCTAATGAAAGCTACGGAAATTGTGTGTATAATTGCAAATTATTACAACAAAATGTTGAAAAGAAAGTAGGTTGTACCAATGTTTTCACCTGAATAATGCCTGTGCTATGTGTTTAGAATCCTTTTTTGTGTGCCTTCCAGTGGTATATATAGCCAACATAGCTAAGGGACAAAGCAGCATATCGTAAGTGTAATTGCAGGACGTGGGGCTCAAATCTTTTCACCCACTTCTGCTCTTTCACAGTGGCTGAATGGGCTCGAGTCTTCAGACACGGGCACTGAGGAGAACTGCAGTATTCCTTGCAAGGCTTAGTGAGGGAGCAAGTAAGAGGGTGGGACTGGACAGGGTGTTTCACTGAGCTGAACACCAGTGTGTGGCATAGTAGACTGAATTTAGCCTACCAATAGAGGTGACCTCCGCATCAGTCCTTTGATAGCTTGAGTGTGATCTGTTGGAGAGCACCACAGAATCCTGGTGCTGTCTGAATTTTAGCAGAGACTTTTTCTGAAGAGCCTAGGAATAGGAATGTGCAGCTTGTCAATAAAAATACATTGATGTTTTAAAATACTAGATTTCTGTAATCTAGAGTGGTATCTAGAAAAAAGCAGAGTTGAAAAAGGAACCTGTGAATGGCTGACTTTGTAAAGAGAATGGTAAACTTGGCATCTGCTGGAATACAAACATGCAACAGTGAGTTGTAAAAAGCGTTTATGGCCAATATTTACAACGTGGTGGTGTCTTTCAATAATCTCAGATTTCAATACATAGAAAAAGAGCTGTTGTATTTTACTGTGTGGCAGTGGTAGGCAACCATCTTCCTTTTAATGATGACCTCAGTGTATCTTGTCTTCTGGATGACAAGCACATACTATAAATGGAGCAAATGCAGTCTGTTTCTTTGTGTGTAACTCCATCCATCTGCCATGGTAAGAGTGCTTTAGACAGATCCACACTCTCTTTGCCTGTGCTTCAAGCTGCTTGGACACAAGCCACGTCTGGCTGGGAAGCTGTGTAGCTGTGTTCGCACAGTGCTGTGCTTGAGCCGATAAGCTGTGTGCAAGCTACTGAACTAATGCAGCTGGTTCAAAGCCAACGAGTACACAGGGAAAATGAGCTTGTGTTTGTCAACACTGGGTCGTGTAGACATGCCTGAGCTGTGTGGCTGCTAGTGACAGCTTGTGCAAATGGAAAGTGTGGTGATGTGAACAAGGAGAGGTTTTGTAGGCTCACATTCCAATTTTGCTGAAGGAGAAACTTTGAAATCACAGTAGTAGGGAGGTTTTCTGGACTACAGCATTAGAGAGTCCGTGTGTGAGAGCCAATCTCTTTTTTGCTTTATGGACTCAGCTCTTATTCAATTTTGACAAAGGTAAATGTAAAAATTGGAACTAGGTTCTGTTCTGATCTTCTGTTGTTGTCTTGAAATTGCAGACTTCCTTTAAAAATGACTCCACAGGACTTTCTTTCAATGGCCCATTTATTTCAGTGGGAGGCTGATGCAGACCAAAAGATGGAATGCAGATAAGAGCTTTTTCTTGTTGTTCTTGGAACATCTTTAATATGTGTGACGTGGTCATGCTTTACTTTCCTTATGTAGCAGAGTCCCAGAATCTCCAGGTGTCTGCCAACTAGCAGCAAAGCTGCAGCTCGTAGTTCATGTTTGGTGGTACAGCTCTTTTCAATTCCAAAGGCTCTTGTATGTGAGCAGTGTACCGTGCACTTGCCTTAATTCTAAGTAACAAGTAGTTACAGCAGGGCCTTCTCTAATTTCTAGACTCATCTTCTTCAAGCATCTCTTTAGATGGAGGTGTGGAAACTGCATTAAATCAAATTGTCTGGCATAGTAGTGAGTCTGCCCACTTAAGTGATGGATGCATCTGGCTCAAGAGGATGGAAATTAGCATCAACTTTGATAAATGTTGCCCAGCGGTTTTAAAATTTATTGGAAATAATCAGGTACCATAGTGAAGTTACAAAGATTTTGACTTAAAAAAAAAAATTCACAATACAGATTTTTAAATGTTCTAAATATTTAAAAAATTGTTTTAGATGTTATTTATTTAAAATATTTAAAATATGTATGTTATATATATTATGTAGATTTATTTTTTTTTGAGAGAGAGAAAGAAGCATGTTACAGATCTTGGTTGAGCATATCCAGCAGTATGTCACACATTTGAACTTGCATGGTCCTGCAGTTAAGTTGGTTTCAAAGGTTGTTAGACTGAAACAGTATATGTTTTGAATACATATGGCCGTATTTTTCATAGCTGAACAGAAGGTGCCTGTATATTGATTCCATTTCCTCTTACCATCTTTTTTCATACCATATAGATGGACTTAATTCCTGGAGCTCGGTGGTTATACACACTAGTATGAGTTAGAACTAGGCCTGCGTTGTTTCTGCTAAAGCTGATTTTGTGAACGTTATAGAGACTATTTTCTCCTGATGCTGAATATATGTTACAGGTGGTTTATAAATTAGGAATATTTCAGTGCTGATGGCTTAAAAGGCTCACTGGATCCAATCTGGCATCTTTTCATTTGATGTCATTACGTTGCAAGTTTATCCTGGAGTGCTTTGTTGAAGTACTGGAATATCTAATTACAGTCTACCATAAAAGCATAACTACTGTTTCACCATATCAGGCTACTGGCTTGGATTTATCTCCTAAGCTTTAGACACCTACATCCGAGTGAGTCAGCCAGGCTCCCTTTATAACTGGAGAGGAGAAGCTGTCCTTTTTAGCACATGGTTCATCATCCCCTTGGACTAAACGACTGACACAGGCCAGAAGGACTGCATTCTACATCTGTGCGTTTCTCTCCACTGATGATAGAAGAAGTCCTGACAACTGGAGCAGTGACATTTGTGACATTTTGCCCTTGCCCTGCTGCTGTTCGCTACTTCTAGACATTGCTGTATTGCTCCTCACCTTCTGAGGTCATTACACATTGTTTCTTTTGATTTTAAAGGTTATTCCCAAAAATGCTCATGTTACTGCCTGAATTTGCCATGTGATAAGTAACTGTTGGAAGTGCCAAGTTGCTTTTTCTTGGCTTTTAGCAAAGCCATGGCCATTTTTAAGAATCAAGAGATGGTTTTTATTTCTGGATGACTTCCCCTAATTGATTATATAAATAAAACTTGCAACTGCATTGTTAAATACATGGGAAGTACCATTTTTCTTTTCCTAGATTTGAAATAACTGAATTTAAATGTTTGTAAATTGTTAATATGCTGTGTGTAATCTGTACATTCTCCTTGCTACTGGCTTTTCTTTAAAGGATAGAAATTAATAAACATAATTTTTAAAAATCCATTTCAGTAGCAACTTTAATGCAATAATAAGCAAGGAAGTTGTGATACTCCAAACAGAATGTGTTAGTAACCAGTCTGCCTTCACATACTGAGGGTAGTAACTTTGTACTTGATGCTTTATGCAAACTGTAATTATCACAGATACAAGTTTGTCAAAGACAAGCTATGCTGATACTGAAAATGTACAATAGAGTTTGTGAGATTACTTCCTATACTTTCTTAAAAGGTCTTGTAAAACCTCTGTGTGACAGAACAGGATTTACTGCTGTTTAAGGATTTATGAAGCTGATTTCCTTTGGATCTTGAGAATTCTTTTCTATGCTATATGTTAAAAGGGGATTATCTTCTGCAGAATTTACCTTAAGTGCTGTGGACTCTCTTTATAGGGGCTATCGGCAGTGTTTTGCCACACAGATATCATTTTAGATGTCAATTTTTTTTGCATACAAGCACAGTCATGCAGAAGAAGCTCTAGACAACATTAGCTGCACAAACAAATTGTGAAGATCAAAAAGGCTTTGTTTTACTATCATTTAGAAAACAGAATTTCAGTAGAAGAGGAAAGAGAAAAGTGTTTAATGAAAGAACCTGGCATTGAACAGAAGCATCTGCATGTTTCTGTAGAAATTTTGACATCTGTGCTTTGCTTCCATCCTTCTCAGCAAGTGTTCATATTTGCTGAAAAGGTGATTATGAGCAGCTAGGAAGAGAGAATAAAATAGTTGATAATAGTAGTGCTCCAACTGAGGGGGTGTACCTCCTAGAAAATGATCCTACATTTCAATGTCTTTCTACGCTGCTTTCAGGGGGAGGGAGGGGGGGAACCAAACAACAAAAAATGGTTTGACAGTAATTTTGGTTTTGTACGGAAAAATACCTTTTTTTTTTCTCTTCCTCATTTAAACGTGTGTGCACATTTAAACACTTAAATAAGAGTTCAAGTGCTACGCGTGTCTAACATAGAATAACATACATCGCTTTTGCTTCTTTTTACTGGCTTCATGGACCGATTGAGGTATTGCGAACAGACAGACACACAGAGCCAATTCTTTGGCTAGGCTATGGTGCCATGGCTATGTGAACTTCAAACAACACGTGCCTGTTGAGATCAACTAGGTTCTAGCCTAGGGTATTTTTACCTAAGTGCCCTGATTTCCGAGAATACTATGGTGTTATGCATCCCTGAGAAATTTTCCTTTTAAAGCTATGAACTGCAAAGTAATTACCTGTTTATGCCCATGTGCTCCTTCATCAGTCTTAATGTAATACGTCATTTCCAGTTTGTCCTGGTTTCATCTGGGATAGAATTAATTTTCTTCCTAGTAGCTGGTATAGTGCTGTGTTTTGGATTTAGTGTGAGAATAGTGTTGATAACACACTGATGTTTTAGTTGTTGCTAGGTAGTGCTTATACCAAGCCAAGGACTTTTTCAGCTTCCCATGCTGCACTGACCGGGAAGGTGCACGAGAAGCTGGGAGGGAGCATAGCTAGGGTAGCTGACCCAAACTGGCCAAAGGCATATTCCATACCATCTCAGGTCATGCTCAGTACCTAAACTGGGGGGAACTGGGTGGGCACGGGGATCACTGCTTGGAGTCAGGCTGGGTATCGGCCAGCGGGTGGTGGGCAGTTGCACTGTGCATCACTTGTTTTGTATATTCTACTATTATTATCATTATTATTTCTTCCTTTGCTGGCCTATTAAACTGTCTTTATCTCAACCTACAAGTTTAACTTTTTTTCTTTTTTCCAATTCTCCCCATCCCACCAGCGGGGAGGTTGAGCAGGCAGCTGTGTGGCGCTTAGTTGCTAGCTGGGGTTAAACTGTGATACATTTGATATCTATCTTTAATCATTCAATAATGAAATGCTATGTCTGCTTTCAGATGTTTAATCAGGAAATGAAAATCCTCTCTCCCAGGCTGCCATGCACAGTATGTATCCAAGGCAGAAGAAACACGTGTCTAGAGATGAACTTTAAAAATGAGGGACCAGTGTGATGTTTTAAGGCCAGATTCTTCCTGCCTATTGGTATATAGAAAGTACTTGTCCCGATGTTGTGCAGGTGGGGATCGCAGAAGTCAAGGAGAATTAGAGCCTTGTGCGTAGCAGAGGGCAGACAGTTACTGTAGGCCTGGTTTGGGGGAGCAGAGCTGCAGGCTGACCTCGGCATCTCTCGGTGGTGGCCAGTGAAGCGGGAGACAGGGCTGTATGGCAGAAGTCGCCTGCGCCTCTCGCACGGCTCTATGTGCCTGGAAGCCTTTTGCTGACTCTGTTCGAAGAGCAGGCTGCTACTGCATGTTACAGTCCCTTGTAAAGCTGGTTTTATGCTTGAATATTTGTGTAGGCTGAGGGGTTCTTTTGGTATATTTGTTTCGGTTTTTCTTCCCTTCCTTTCTTCTCTGTCACCGCCATATTAAGAGGAACTAAGGCTACAATTTCACTTGGAGAGAAATTAGGAAACCAACATACAACGAGGAGCTCTTCATTTTCAGGAGGGCTGTACAGAAATACAGTTTCACGCAGAAGCTGTTTCTGAGGACAGAGAAATACACTATCAAAAATGCTAATAGTTTAAGTAGTTTTACTGTCCATTTTAATAGGCCATAGTACATCTTTTTAAGTCAGTTGGCAAAATGTACACGTACACTTCATATTTCATTTGATGTTTTGACAGAGACAATTGCTCTCTCTCAGGTTTTGGCAATCTGCGCAATTCTGTTTACATGAGAATTTTTTTTTGCTGCTGCTGCTTTTGAAATAGAAATGGATATTAAGAAGTTCCATATTTTTAAAAACTGAGAAAAATGGAATCAGACAGTGAAAATACTGACTTTCCTAACATAAGACAGCTGACACGAAAGATTGAGTGGTTGGTGTATAAAAAGTTTTTCTTATCTGCTCTGTCCCCAGTCTTTAATCAAATTTCTTCTTTCAGTAATGCTTATGAATTTTGTAAAACTTAGGGGGAAAAAAAAACTTTTGTAAAACTTCTTGAGGAAGAAATTGAATCAGGTTAATGTAATCTTGTTTGCTGATACTGAAACGTGAAGTCAAGTATTTTTAAGGGCTAATATACATTATTGAGTGAAATCTTATTTTTTCTGCTTTGCCGCAATTTATCTTTTATCTGGAAACACAGCAAAGTTTAATAACCTAATTTGCTCTGAATAAATTTTGAGTCTATAAACTTCAGCATTTGAGTCTGTTAACTTCAGAGCAATCCAGTTTGGTAAGAATGTTATCATAGTGTGCTGAGAATTTCTGGAAGAGATATACAAATAGTGTTCAGTCCTAAGAAACATCTTTCTGGGTGTGTCATTTTAGTTTAATGACTCCTGGGAAAATAATTCTATTCTGGGTTGGTTTTTTGTTTGGTGATTGGGTTTTTTTGACACAATCAACTGAGCTTTATGAATGGCTGTGTCTTAATATAAACGTACCATTCTGTTGCTTCTTTGGCGTGAACCTTGCCATATATATTTTTATGAATGTACAAAGGAAGTGCCGGGATCTTTTTTTTTCTTGGAAGCTGTGCTAGAACTGCTTTTATGAGATGATGAATTTGTGTGCTATTTTATATCTTGCAGCCTGAGGAGCTGCTGCTGTGTATGCTTAGTAAGCTTTATAGCACCTTTGCTGTCTGTAAAACCCATGAAACTACTTTTTCACTCATTCTAGAAAGCATGGAAAATGTTCTTAACTTTATTTGTTAATGATATGTTACTGCATAGTCACAAGTCATACAGAGATGGAATTCACCAATTAAATACCGTAATTATTAGGTTCAAACATAATTGTGTGTGCTGGATCAATAGGTCCCTGGTATTGTGCCAAATACAATGAGGATTTATCCTTTGATGGACACATGAGATAAAATCCAGTTTTGAATGTAGAAGGTGAATTAGAGTTACCTAATGCATTACAAACCTGTCTTTTTGTACTTCAATCTGAAGTAATTCCTGCACAGTGTTTTTGAAAAAAAAAAAAAAAATTCAAAGTGTGGAAGAAATTACAATGTGTGTTTGTTTTAGATGAAGTGTATACAATTTGATCTCAAAGAGTGAGGTAATTTAAGTAATGAGTTCTGATTTAGTTACTGAGAATTCTGTTTTCAGGAGTCGGCATTGACAGTACGTTTCTGTTATTTCTAAATTTGAGCCTTCCTTTCGCCATGTAATGTAGTCTTCTGGGATTTGTCTTAAAGTAGGATTTGAGATGTCTTCCAGCTCAGATTTGCCCTGAAATATATTCATGTCTATGTAGTCCTTGTCATAAGTTCAGATGATACGTCTTCTTCCCTGTACCTGCATCTCAAAGCTCTAGATCCTTCGTTCATTCTCCACTTTTTAACAGGCAAGGTCTCCAGCATGTTGCCACACACATTATTTTTATTTTAGAAATGCTGTTTAATGCATTTTTACCCCAAGACAATAATAGTGTGCATGTGCTGGTTAATTTTTGTGTGGTTGTGTTTGAAGTATGGGGCTTAGTTTTTTTTGTTGGTGTTGAGTTTCTTCTGGTTTATGCTATAGAGAAAGCAAAGTTTAATCAACACTTACATTGCTGTAGTGTTTTTTCTGCTATGGTGGATTTGATTGAGTCAGACTTTCTCTTACCCATCTGACAAATAAAAGAAATGAAGAGCAGGAGGTCTCCGTATAAAGAGTCTTGTGGAAAGTGTGGTAACTTCATTTATAATATCAGGAAGTGAATAATCTTGCTTAAATAGGTGGAACACGTAAGCTGATTTATTAATTTTTTCCTCAGATTTTTGTCTTGCTATCTCCATTGTATGTATTCTTCAGTCTTAAGTCTCCACCTACAACAAAAGCCAGCAGTGAATGATGCAAGTGCTGACTGTATCTGTTTGGAGTAAGAATTTTTAACAACTTGGTTCCACAAAATATCTGACTGTATAGCATCTAGTAGAACGTTATCTGTGTTTTCAGGTGCACTACAACGTTGGCAAAAACCTGGCTGACAAAGGAAATCAAAGTGCTGCAATCAAATACTACAGAGAAGCTGTAAGGTATTTGGAATTTTACTGCTTTAATGGACTATCCTCAAATTGCTTTGATGTTTAACATTAAGAAAATGCTTAGGTATTCATTTTCATGATCTGCAGTACTGCAGAGCTAACAGTTTGCATAGAGTAATACATATCACATGCATAGTAATCATCTCTTAAAATTTAAATTTTAGGTTGAATCCAAAATACGTACATGCCATGAACAACCTTGGAAATATTCTGAAAGAAAGAAATGAACTCCAAGAAGCAGAGCAGTTGCTGTCCTTAGCTGTTCAAATACAGTATGTTTAGAACACTACTAAGCAGTGTTTTGCACCAACTGAACAGATATGATACAGTAGGATTTTTGTATTCCAAATACTCAGTTGTCCTCTTCCCCCTGCCCCCCTTTGTTTTTTCTCCCCCGTCAATTTGCCCAGACCTGATTTTGCTGCTGCATGGATGAATCTAGGAATAGTACAGAACAGTTTAAGAAGGTTTGAAGAGGCAGAGCAAAGCTACTGGACAGCAATTAAACACAGGAAAAAATATCCAGATTGCTACTACAATTTAGGGCGGTTGGTAAGTGCTTTTGAATAAGTGATAGCTATGACATTAGTGTGTGTGTGTCTATACGTATGTAATCCTGCTGTACTGTTAAATGCTGATAGTTATTCCAGTTTGCTTGATTTGTAGTTCAGGGTGATTTCGTATTTTCAGTAGTTTTCCTGTTGCTTTCCCAGTGTCATTTCTATACCACCTTTAGTAGTCCAACATTTTCATATAAAGATACGTAACCAAAAATACAGGTTGTGTTCTTTTGTTCAACAGGTATTATTAATCATTTGGCAATATTAGACTGTTTTGCAGTCATTAGTATATTTAAACAAATTGTTAGGTAGAACTCTGCCAAAAAAAAATCCATTTAGATTACTGGAAATATTTCTATCAAATATTTACTTATTCTCTTGTGTAGATTTCTAAATTGCATGTTGGGCTTTTTCCCCATCCTGTTGTACGTGCATATTTGAAAAGACGGGTGCCCAGAGAGAAGCAGTGTAAAAGTGTAAAATGAGTACACAGCAGTCTGTCTTCCATACTATTCTACTGTTCTTTTTACGTTTCTTATTTTTGTCATAAAAGCAAGTTCTACTAGAATGGAATGAGACATTAATGACTCTTTAGTGCATGATAAGAAGGTAAAACAAATCAGGGTGAAATTACTGAGTTTTTCCTTCTTTTTAGTATGCAGATTTGAATCGCCATATAGATGCATTGAATGCCTGGAGGAATGCTACAGTTCTGAAACCAGAGCATAGTTTGGCTTGGAATAATATGATTATATTGCTTGATAACACAGGTATGAGCCCATTTTGAATGTTTTAATGAATAATTCAGCATCTTGCAAAACTTAAAGCTTTATCTGCATTTATGTAAAAGGAGTTCTGCCTTTTACTTGGCTACCAAGACACTCTCTATCAATGTAAAAATACCTTCTGACTCAATAGTTTTAAAGCATCACTTGAAATCCAGCCCATAAATTCAATTTCTGATGCTTGTTTGAAATGCCGTCATTGTGCAAGCACGTTTTTATTATAGACCAGACTACAGAGCATTTGCATTTGTGCTTTCGTGTTCATCTGAAAGTGTTATCTGTTGAAAACGAAATAGAGGTTTTCTATTTTCTTATTCTGCAGCGCTTTACATTTGTGTGTGTGCGTGATACCTGGTTTTCTTTAAAAATGCATGTAATCAGCTATTCGTACAATATGCTTGCTTGCAGCGTGAAAAGTAACTAATAAGGCTGTGATAAAAGATGCTTTCTCTTTTTCCTCTACATGGGCTCCCAGGCAATCTAGCTCAAGCAGAAGCAGTTGGAAGAGAGGCCCTGGAATTAATACCTAATGATCATTCCCTTATGTTTTCATTGGCAAATGTGCTGGGGAAATCACAAAAATACAAGGTAGGTAACTAGAGCTTTCTGAGCATTGGGTTTTGGGGTTGGTTTTGCCTGTTTAGACTCTGTGTAAGTTTTGTGTAGAAACTGTTTGGGGAGGTTGTTGTGGACTATGACTTAGATAACCAGGTTTCAGTGCCCATTTCTGTCACAGTATTGCTGTGTGATTCTGGCCTAAGTTCATCCCACCTTATCTGAGATGCCTGTGTTGGGAACATTGCTACCATAAGCTGTGTCAGTGGTCAGTGGAGAGAAAGAGGCTCTTAAGCACACTAGAGGGCACTTGGGACCTTGTATTGCTTCATGGCGGATAGAACGAGCCTGCTCTAACTTAGAGGCCTTGGTTCAGGAACTAAAATGAGAGGTGATAGGCTAGTCCTTGTGCTTTTGGTATGTAAAGAAAGCAAGGTTTACCATTACCCTTACACGTTCAGAGTTCTAGCCTCTTTGCCTCAGACACTATCCAAAATAAAGGTATTACAGATTTGGCAGTCCCAGATTGAGGATGGGATGCCTGAGTAATCCCAGAACATTAGGAGAAAAAGTCCACTCATTGAGCAATGTATTGAACTTTCTCTTGGATGCAGTGGACCAGCCTGCGAGTGGTACCTCAGCATTAGCTACTTACATTTACAAGTAGTAAATCGTGGAATGGTTTGGGTTGAAAAGGACCTTATAGATCATCTAGTTCCAACTGTAAGTGTAATGGAACTGATGAGAATGAGTTATTTTCCAAAAGGAATTGTATGAGCTAATAGAGAATAAATCATACACAATTAATATATTGAGTTGTTTTAACTGAGTCCGTAGTCACTGATGTATGTATGTGATAGGAACAAATTAATAATCAGGGAAGTTTGTTGTATTCCTCAGAAAAACATCGTTTACTGAAGTATGGCTTTTGGGGGTTTTGATGGCTTTTTGATAGTGATAATGTCATCAGCACTGAAGGAACATCCTCAGTACATGCAAAGTTAAGAAGATTTTATGAAGTTAAACTTTTCAGAATAGATACATTTTTCCACCATTTACTATGCTTAAATTTCTACATTCCTGTTCAACTGTGGAGTCATGACCTGTCCATATGTGAAGCCAGGGCCTGTGACAACCCAGCACTTGCTTTTGTTTGTGTTAGTGATGCTATTAGACACCCCATTGCTGTTTCTTGGCTGGTTTTTTTTTCCGTACACCCTATTTCTTTTCTCTCTCCACCTGAGACTATTATAAAATATGTATTTTAGGTTACTTTAACAAAGTTCCAGAAAGATACAAATTAACATCCAGAATGTATAAGGGATGAGATTATGGAGGAGGTAATTGCTAGGATTATTTTGGTGAGTCATGACTGTGAAAGAATAGAGGATTGTATAGTTATTCATCAAGAAGAGTATGCAGCATGACAGAATATGGAGCATTTACAATGAAATAAGTGGAAAAAATAAGTTTAAAACCAGCTAGAAAACCTTTCCAGGTGTAGGAGAAGCAATTCTGTCTTAGTAGATTTTAAAAATAAAAAAGGAGGTAGTGATTTGATTGCTAGCTCTGAAAGTTCATTATGCTGCAGAGGAATGTGTTGGAGACAAAGTAGAAATGATAATAGGGGGAAATGAAGCTTTCAAGTCAGCGTCCTGAATAACGCAAAAGGAGCAGTAGAGCCCAGGGAAGAAAGCAGGGAGCCAGTGAGTGTTTTAGTAGTTCAATATGAAGTAGCAGGTTTGCATAAAGCAAAAAACTTAACTAGTAACTTGAAATTGATAGATTATAACAGGAGAGCATATTAAGGGAATTGGAAAGTAAGCTCACTTAGAAAAGGTTATGATCTCAGCGGCTGTATTTTGCATCGCCTGGAAAGAGGAGATACAAGTTTTATTTTAAGTGGGAGAATGCTAAATGGCAATAAAAAGCATGGAAAATCCAGATTTCTTGTCTACCCCCTCACCATGTAAAAGCAGAAAGAAGTGGATGGCTCTTTAAGGATTTTTATTGAGTGTTCTGGATTGGAAGGGGGGAGGGGGGGATGGAGACTGTCAAGGTGATGGAGGTAATTTTCAGAGGGCTGCCTGGCTGTGTCTGATGTGTTGTATAACCTCAGGCATTTCATTTATTAGGTTACTTGTTATGTGTCTGTATAAAAGTTGTTGCTGTAAAGTAAGATTTGTTCTGTGGTTTTTTGTTATCTTTTATTTTATAAGTCATTGAGTCAAAAAGGTTTTAATATGTTATGAAAGATCTCCTCCCAATAAGCACACAATATTCAACTTCAGTTTCAAATGCACTTTGATTTTCAGCAGAAGATGATTTTCCTAAGTGACCAAAACACCCAACCCATTATGATTTCTGTTTGTATCTACTCATGAAGGATTTATTGTTCCAGAAACAAAAGCACATAAAGGATGAGCTGTTTTGGTGGTTTTGTTTTGTTTTTTTAATTAACATCTGTTACACCACGTTAGAGTTCTCCTTTAAATGCTTGTTCTTGTCACAATGGATGAAGAACCAAGCTATCTTTAGTTCTTTGAAAATATGTGTGCTGTATTTTTGTGATGTATACATCTATGCTTTTTCTGTAAAAAGTACATGAAATCAAAACCATTCAGCATTTTTTGTATTTGAAATAAAGCCAGGCTACAATTTTGTGCTGTGGTCTTGGCAGCAGATGGAATGCAGTGTGCTTACCCAAAGGCTTTGCTATATGCAGTGTGCAAGTTTCTTGGCAACACTTAAAGATTTTGCAAGATAGAGCAATTTGAAATATCACCGGATGTACTGGAGTGTATATTTACTGCATATATCTACAGTAATAGGAATATGATGCACCTTAAATAGCCTTTAATCAGCTAGTATGCTTCTGTTAGCTGCTGAGCAAAGCAGTGGTGATAAAAACGTTTTCAGCATGTAGTTGAAGATGCATGGTAATGGCAGCCAACTCTGAGAATCTATTTCATTAAATTTTCTGGGTACGCATTGCACATGTTGTCCCACTGTGCTTCAGCAGTGAAAGGACGAGTCCATACATGAGGTGCTTCTCTTTTGTGTAGGTGGCAACTTTTAGGCGTAAAACTGAATTAATTGGACAGCACATCTTTCACTTGATTGCTATTAACCTGCCCAGTGAAGTAAGCAGAGAATTACTTATTAGGCCAAAATATTAAAATTTGCAGTGGAAAGAAATACAACTTTTGGGGACTTCTGACTACTACGTGCTTTCAAGTGCCAGTCCACTGCTGATTTTTGGGCTTGGATGGTTGTATGAAAAAAGGAGGTTATCTTGCAACACCACTGGACTTGCTAAATATTTGAGTCTCAGTATGTTTCTCGGGTGACTAAGTTAGATTCATATAATAATTTTGACTGGAAGTGATGTCCAGAGGTTATGTAGTCCAAACCATGACCCAAACCAGGGCCATCTCCAGTTGAACCTTGAACACCTGTACAGATGGAGATTCTAAAACCTCTCTGGACAGCATCTTCCGGTGCTTGACCACACTTACGGTAAAAAAAAGTTTCCTTTTATCTAATTGAAATTTCCTGTATGCCGGCTTGTATCCATCGTGTTGCATGCCATCTCACAGACTTGGGAGAAAAGTCTGTCTCCATCTTTTGGACTAAATGACCTTTGAAGGTCACTTCCAACCCAAACTGTTCTGTTGATTCTATTCTATCTTCTCTGTATCATCTGATCAGCAATAAGGTCTTCCCTTCATCTTCTCTTCTGAAGGCTGAAGAGATCCAGTTCTTTCAGCTGCTCCTTGTATGTCTTGTGCTCCAGCCTCCAACTGTCTCAGTGGCTCTCTGCTGGACTTCACTAAAGTATGTCCATGTCTTTCCTGTAATGGAGAGCCTCAACCTGAACACATACTCCAGATGTGGTCTTGCAGGTGCTAAACAGAGGAGAAGGATTACTTCCCTGGACCTGCTGGCTGTACTTCTACTTAATACAGAGCAGGATGTGGTTGGTCATCGTTGCTGTGAGGGTATGCTGATGGCTTTTATTCAATTTGCTGTCTGTCAGGCCCACCAGATCCATTTCTGTAGACCTGTTTCCTAGACAGTTGCCCCCCAGCCTGTACTTTTGCATGGGGTTATCTCATCCTAGATGTAGGACTTCATGAGATTTCTGTAGTCCAATTCTGTTCAACATCTTCCTTACTGATCTGGATGATGGGGCAGAGTGCGCCCTCAGCAAGTTTGCAGGTGACACCAAACTGGGAAGAGTGGATGATATGCCAGAGGGTCATGATGCCATCCAGAGGGACCATGACAGGCTGGAGAAACGGGCTAGCAGGAAACTCACGCAGTTCAACAAGGAGAAGTGCAAAGCCTTGCAGCTGGAGAGGAACAACCCCAGGCACCAGTAGAGGCTGGGGACCACCCAACTGGAAAGCAGTTTGGCAGAAAACATCTTTATCAATGATCTGGATGAGGGGATTGAGTGCTCCCTCAGTAAGTCTGCAGATGACACCAAGTTGGGTGGGAGTGTCAATCTGCTTGAGTGTAGGAAGGCTCTGCAGAGGGATCTGGACAGGCTGGATCTATGGGCCAAGGCGAACTGTATGAGGTTCAAAAAGGCTAATGGCTGCGTCCTGCACTTGGGTCACAACAACCCCATGCAACCATTCCTGCATTGAGTGGACTACGATTTGCTTGCTGAAACTGAAGATGTGTAACACTTCTCCTTCGCATACTCTGGACAGCCTACTCCTGTCTTCTTTAATTCCAGGAAATCTTCTTTTTTGAAAAGGAAGCACCCAGGTTCCAGGGAAATTCTTTCTGAAACTCGGGATTACGAGCAAGGGTGGCAGGACTTTGTCTAATGACTCACAGGTGCAAAGATGCACAGCCGTTTCACAACTGCTGAAAAGCCGCTTGTGTGCCGGCGTGAGAAAGTGCCCGGCCCAACTCTCCTCTGACTCCGCGGTGGAGAAAACACAGGGCTCGATGGGGCTGCAGAGGGGCTGAGCAAAAGCTGGGCTGGGCAGATATTTGGAACAGGCTGCCCAAGGAAGTAGTGGAGTCCCCATCCCTGGAGGTTTTTAAAAAACGTGTAGATGTGGCACTTCAGGACATGGTTTAGTAGGCCTGGTAGTGTTTGGTGGATGGCTGGACTCGACGTTCTTAGAGGTCTTTTACAACCTATGATTCTATGATCCTTCCTCTCCACTAATGAGGCCGCACCTGGAATGCTGTGTCTAGTTCCCAGAGACTCATGGACATACTGGAGAAAATCCAGCAAAGGGCCACAAAGATGATGAAGGGACTGGAGCATCTTTCCTGTCGGGAAAGGTTGAGAGAGCTGGGACTGTTTAGCCTGGAGAAGTCTCAGGGGGGAGGATCTCAATGTATATAAATACCTGAAGTTGCAAAGAGGGTGGAGCTGGGCTCTTTTCAGTGGTGCTGAGTGACAGGACAAGAAGCAGTGGGCCCAAACCAAAACATAGGGTGTTCCCTCTGAACATCACAAAATGCTTTTTTACTGTGACTGAACACTGGTGCAAGTTGCCCAGCAAGGCTGTGGAGTCTCCATCCTTGGAGATGCTGCCTGGACAGAGTCCTGGGCAGCTGGCCCTGCCTGAGCAGGGAGGTTGGACCAGAGGACCTCCAGAGGTCCATTCCAACCTCAACCATTCCAGGATTCCTGCTAGTCCATTTCTCTGTCCTGTCCAGGTCCCTCTGAATAGCAGCTCCCCCCTCCAATGTGTTGACCACTCCCTCCTCTTAGATGCTATCTGTAACGTTTTTGAAAGTGCATTCAGTCGCATCATCCAAAACGTTAATGAAGACAGTACATAGTATGGGTTTCAGAGACCAGTGCATCCAGGAACATTAATAGTCTGGATATGAGCATACTGGAACTGCTGCTTATGCCAGTGAAAAGCCATGCTAAAACTTGCATTATGGAGTGATATACTCCCTAAATTTCCAGACATCTGGTTCGTTTGTTCACTCCTGTCCAAGTATTCCTTCTCCTGAAACAGGATGTCCTGCAAAAGGATTTGCCAAGAACCCTGGGATTTGTAATTTCCTTGACCTGAGAAGACAAAGGCACTTTCTGTATTAGTCTCTCCTGGCTTCAGAGTGGCAGCCTTTGTGCTAATGAGTGCTTTGAAAAGAACACGTAGTTTGGGTTTGAATTTGGACATACTGGGAAGCTCTTAAGTCACTTGAAGTTGGGTGACTCAAACTTGACATCAGAAATTTCTTGTGCCCTCAGGCACCCTTACAGAGCCTTATTTCATGCTTCTCATGTAAGACGGTGGAACCAAAAACCTGGCTGACAGGTTTCCTTTTTCAGTAGATCCTGTGTTGTGTTTTGTGGATATAAGTAATAAAAGCGTAGCACAAAGGAAAGGCCTCTTCCCCAGGTTATTCTCACATACCTCAGACAGCAAGTATGTGCATTCAGATGGAAGCCTACCACACTGAGGTAATTTTATCTTCAGGTCATTTGCATTGGAACTGAATAAGCAACTCTCCCTAAAACACAGCACAGAAATCTATGTAGAATTCACTCTCTGAAATATCTAAACTTGCATGCAAGCAAATAAATATGTTCCATTTGGATTGGGGGGGGTGGTGTATCTTTTTAAACTTCTGCAGGAAATACGCGCTGGAACAAAAGATCTATATTAGCAACTAGTTTGGGAAAATAGAAGTGTTAGAAGAAATTTAGCAGTAAACTGTTGTCTGAATATTTGGTGAGGAAGCTCAGCTTTTCAAAGAAGTACTTAGATGTCAACAGGCCTAAAAGTACACACCGCAAGTGGGAATATAGGGAAGATAACTTGTGAGGAAATGTGAGCAATATTTTTTTTTTTTTTAAGTAACAAGCAGTCAGCTACTCTTCATTGAGAACCGTGTTGAAACACCTGTTCGAAAGGGGTTTGCTAGAATGCCCCAATTTTAAATGCTAAAAAACTATTTTAAAGGGCAGGGTGTCTAACAGCAGTTTGCTGAGATACTGAATCATATTATCCTTAACTTGATTGAATAAGCAGGGAAAACTTCAGTAAGTGATGTTGAAAAAGAATAAAACTATAAAAAACAAAAGAATTTAAGTAAACTGCTTTGCAAACTTCACTAGTGCTTGATAGCTCTCTGCTAAAATACCAGCAGCCTGTGAAAGCATGGCACTATTACTGTTTTCTGGAGGCTGTAGTCACCTGAGCTACAGGATCATGCAGGCTTAGAATATATAAACGATGGTATCATATAGATATGGCATAGTTTGGGAGGGTTTTTAATTACAGTCATGGGTAAATTTTCTATTATTTTATATACTACAAGAGTAGACTCTCCTGTTGACTTGTTCTTCTAAATTATTCAGGAATCTGAAGCTTTGTTCCTCAAGGCAATTAAAGCCAATCCAAACGCTGCCAGTTATCATGGTAATTTGGGTAAGAACCTTTCTAACTCTTATCAGCTGTATTGTTTGTTTGCTTCATATTCGTTGTGTTTAAAAAAAAAAAAAAAAAAAAGGCAGTCTTTTGAGAGCCTTCTTCCTACTGGGCAGATTTCTGTTTTACTTCCTAGAAAAAATGCCCGCCAGAAGGACAGGGCAGTAAACCAGAAAAGCTGTCACACAATATGACAGATCAAGAGGGCTGTACAATCCAGCCCAGAGGTGGCTGCACTTTAGTGCCTGCAAATTGGTTCATTTATGCTACGCTTGTAACCCGCAATGAGCTCACCAGATAAGAGCTGCCATTTATGGCTGCAATGTAATTCATTCCTTCATCATTCCCATGCCAGTTCTGCTCCCAGGCTTTGCTCCTGCATTTGGCAGCAGAACAAGCAGCTACTGTGCCACCAGCCAGGGAGAGACCCTCACTGGAAATAAATGCTTTAATGTTGTTTTCCAAGTGATTGGCAAGATTGCACGTTATTCAACAGTATTGCTAATGAAATTCCTCATTCATGTTCCAGCTGTGCTTTATCATCGCTGGGGAAATCTTGACTTAGCAAAGAAGCACTATGAAGTCTCTCTGAAGCTTGATCCTATGGCACCCGGGACCAAGGAAAACTACAACCTCCTAAGAAGAAAACTGGAACAATTGCAAAAGAAAGGCGGTGCCTGATGTTTCTCTTCAGGTTGTCCGTGCATGCTGTTTATGATTAATGTTACATGGTTACTTTTGACCATGTAAAGCATTCAGTCATTATTTCTCAAAAATAATAATGCCACCAGCAATGCACACTTGAATGTCCAATTATGCCCTCCTACAGATCCTAACATTTCAGCTGCAGTTTGGGGGATCGTTTTCGTTTTACTCTTGAACTGCTTTTAAAGTCCCTTAGAATGTTTTTATAGGTGTATGAAAGCAATGCAGATGGAATTTCACAGCTTTCACTTGTAATTTGATATCTTCATCTGACTTTTTAGTAGCCGGATGAATATCAGAAGGCAGTTTTATTTCTGAAAGTGATTCTAAAAAAAAGTGCAATTTCCTGTTTAAATCCTGATCTTTTCAAGTACAAAGAATATCTGGCCACTGCAGTTTTATTACTGCCTTCTACTGCCAGTCCTGCAGAGCCAGCAGAAGAATGGATTCTCTCCAGAATGTCAAGTCTGCTCTTGTAATTTGAGTTACACCCTTGTTCTTGTTTCTGGCATAACTTGAAGTGTCAGATTTGTGGAGGCGTAAATGAGGACAAGGATTTGACCATAAAGGTTTGTCAGCCAGCATACTGCTGAGGTATGCTCGAGTGGAAAAAATATTCTTGGATTAAGACGGAGACTTTAGCAAGCAGAAAAGGGAAAAGAAGTGTGAGGTGACAGGGAGTCAACTAGAGGTTCTCTTCGTGCAGGCAGCCTCATCTAGCACAGACAACTTGGGCAACAAGTCAGAATTGTTTTAGCTCCTGCCGCAGGTCAGTGGTCTAAATACAGTATAGCGTCTAGGGGAGCTAATTCCTGCATTCTCAGGTATTTCATTCCTTTCTGGTTCGGCTCCTGTGTTGTTGGTGAGCAAGGAGAGCATTTCTGTAAAAAAGTAACTGGGCAGAGCACCTGACCTTGGCTGTTGATGTATTAACTGGAAGGAACTCGGATTCACCTTTGTCTCCCATGGCTCATGCGTTCGCTGAAGCGGCGGTTAAATAAGCAGAGCTGTTAATGCATAAACTGATCACACTGATGTGGGATGATTCAGAGAGGGTACACGTTGACACAGTGTCACTTTTCAAAACGTGCTGTGCTTTAAGACGTGTTTAAACTCCGGCTGTCCAGAGGCGTTTGTCTTGTGCTAATATCTACATTTCCTGCTTCAGGAAGTAGTCATGTCTATTTATTTGTTGGGTTTTTTTCTTTGAGATTGGAAGATTGCTATTGGATGTGAAAATTGAAGAACTTAACCTGTCTTTGCATATTCCTTTATCCTTTCCCTCTGTCCCCACTCATAGGAAAAAATGATCAATCTGATATTTGCAGTTTTCATAGCTCGTCCAATGATTATTGTATAGAGATTGTGGAATGTTCTCCGTGCACAACTCACTTATGCGTGGAAGCATTTAAAGTGTAGAGGGAATGGCTGCTGTAGGACAAGACGTCGTGTGACCTTGCCACCTGACCACTGTGTAACCATTCTACATCTATACTATGTTTTCAACCTAGGCTATGTTTACATTATAGATTTGCCTGGAAAGGGCATTTGTTCTTGAAAGTTGTTTCAAGAACCAAGCATGCCCACAGAGCACACTGCAATACTGCAGAGCTACCAAAGCATCCTCTGACAAAGCTAGCTGGGGTACTACAAGTAGTGCAGCTACTTCAACGTCATATTCGTGCCAGACTAACTATAAATCTGGCCAGCAAGGCTGTGGTAGTGTGGTGCTGTCCACAGATTTGGCTCTGAATGAATGAATATGCTTACATTATATAGTATGTTGCCATACTGATTTTAGTTGAGGTACCAGAGGCATGTATTTGTGCTAGGGCGGTGCTCCTCTCCTGGTAATGAACCCTGTTTCTCAGCAGGACTAATGAGTTTATGTAGGGTACTGAGTTCATGGCATTTGCTTCCATTTCTTCTGGTTTTTGGACAGAATTTTCAGAAACTAGTTTCTGAATATCTGTGCAGGATTTAAATGTGCTCTTTGATAAGTATCTGTACTGATCCAGCAGAACGCTGCACCCACATGGCTAGTCATCTTCTGGTAACCAGCATCGTTTAGTCAGTACCAATGTTTGTGTCTGAAATACTGAAATCAATTCACCCTTCAGTACAAAGAGCAGACTTCTAAGGCTTTCCATACGTAGCCTGTTATTCATCAGATACAGAGAACGCTTAGCTGCCTCACTCATGAGGTATTAGAGAGCTGGGATCTGGCTGGATGAGCTAGTTTACAGCAGAACAGAGATGTGTTTAGTATAGTCAGGTCTTTTCTGTATATTTGGAATATGACACACTGAGTTTAAATTATTCTCATCATGAAGTTCACATGTATGTTTTTTCCCTGTTGCCTGCCATATTAGCTTTACAGAAATCCGGTAGATCAATACTGTGTATGAGGTATGAATTCTCCCTCGGTTATTATGAACCAAAGTTGTGGGAATTCCTCTGTGGGAGTCAGTTTGTCCTTCTACTGAAGAGTCTTGGATGGAAGAGACATGCCAACAAATTGGATGTTTGATATCATTTAAATAATTTTCAGTGGTATAGAAATTCAATGTGATTGCTTGTATGATGGTAATAAGAATACACTTATGTCTGAGCATGATGTTGAGGCAGAATTGGGTTCAAAAGAAGCAACAAACAAGGCTGGTTTTTTAATTAAAAAATCCTTAAGACTTTCAAGATTGCTAAATATTTTTTTACTTTATTTTCAGAAATATTTTGAGAGTGCAAATAATACAGTGAGTTTTATTAAAATGGCTATAATGTTAACCTTTTGCTTGTTTTTTCATACCTCATAACTGACTCCTGGAATAGCACAGAACACGCAACCTGAAAGAGAAAAAGGTGAAGAAAAAGTGGGTTTGTACGTAACTGTTTTTACAGACATTGTCTGTCTTTCCACCGTGCTGGATTTTTCCCCACGTTACCTTTCCACCATTGCTAGTTACAGAAGATTAAAGTTTCTTGCTTATCAGCTGGCCTGCTTGATTCTGCAATGAAATTAAGAAACCTGGATACTTTTTTTTTTCAAAGATTGCTTGTTCAAATACTGTTCTGAGGAGAGAAATACAGAATGATTCAATGCACAGAATGGAGTCAGAAAAAGACTCACAATGACTGCTGTGGATGACAGTCTCTTTTCAGCAAAAACTTCCGAGGGAGTTCCCTAATTGGATGTTTCTGTCATGTTTAGACCAATGCCATGTACATGAAGTTTCCTGTTATTTAATTTCATACTTAGGATTTAAACTTTAGAGATGTGGTTTGTGTGTGTGTGTGTGTTTATGAGCAGTCAGAAATAAAAATCTTCAATACTTTTGAATGGTTTGTTAAAAATAAAGAGCCTATTCATTTGGAACGTGTTTACTTCATATTTGAGATACCTGCATCTGGGGTTTAGGATTATTCATCCTAATTTCTCTGTGTGGTCACTGGGAAAAAAAAATAGGAAACCTGAAACATGATTCTTCATCTAAAGAGAGCATCTTTAGAACATGAGGCAGCGTGTACTTGGAGCAGGTGTTCCTCTTCCCCGACTTCGAAGGGTAACTAAGGTGATGGGCTCGTGTGTGTGAAGAAAATCTCACTGCTGCTTTCAGTTGAAGTGATCTGGTCCCATACACCTCTAGCAGTGTCGTGCGTGATCTGCACCAAGAATACAAAATGATTGGCGTTGATGCAGATTGGCAGGTCCTGGCCTTGAGAGAGGGTTACAGTAGCTGGATGAGGGAACGGGATGAGGCAAATTAAGAGAGCTTTCTGCAGACAGCTAAATTTATGTGGCTGAGAAAGCATCTGAATGTCAGTTCTCTGCCTATGGAAACAGAACATTCAGGTCCAGTTCGATCGATTGTTAGCTTGTCTGTGATCACAATAAATTCAATGCCTTCTTGCTGAAATGACTTTTGGTGTCCTTCACTTTGTTTTAAAAAGCAATCTAAAGCAACTGTAAATCTGCAAAGGTGAGATTTTTTTCTGAAATTGAAGTTGATATTTCAGGCTGTAGCTGTCAGAATGTTAAATGTGATAGCATACCTCATTTCTGTATGGTGGGTTTTGTTTTAGTTGAAGTATCTTAATATTTATTTGCAGGTTCCTGCTTGTGTTCCACATTTCACAGGAGCATAGGTCCACGCATGTACCGGTCATTACGAGTAGACTCCCGCGGGGTTCTCGATTGGCCCTTCCACTGCGTAGCCCTTCCTTCCACGGCTCTGGTGTGCCTCTGCCAAACGCGTGTTTACGAGGGCGTGCTGAACTCGACTGAAACCTGCTAGAAACAAAAGCGAGGTCACACATTACAATTTCTGTGACGTCAACGCCGAGGGAGCCAAAGGCCTGTCGCGTACCCCTGCAAGCGGCAGGTGCCCCTGGCCACCTCGGACCGCGCCATGGTGCGACGCGGCCACACGCGGGTGTGACGCTACGGACAAGGGGGGGGGGGATTTTTAAAATAAGTATTTTTATTAGGAAAAAAATCCCCACAGGTACGGGAATTGGTTGCTTGTGATTGCCGGGCTGAACTGGTTTTTAATGTGGTGTCAATCGTTTTGATCGCCGATGGTACGCTCTGATTTATTTTCAGCTGAGCAAGAAGTAAATGCATTTGTAATGGATCCATGTAATAAATCTGCATTTTGCTATCTTTTTGCATAGATTTTAGTTGTGATAACGGTGTTTATTTTTGTAATAAGTTTTTGATTTAGGGTTCTGCTACAAGGAACTAGGACTAGAGACAGTGGTCTATGGGCAGTGCTCTAGGATGAGAGGCAATGGCCTCAAGTTGCATCAGGGGAGGTTTAGATTGGATATTAGGAAAAATTTCTTCACTGAAAGAGGACTGGAACAGGCTGCCCAGGGAGGTGGTGGAGTCCCCATCCCTGGAGGTGTTCAAAAAACGGGTCTATGTGGCACTTTGGGACATGGTTTAGTAAGCATGGTGCTCTTGGGTGGATGGTAGG